AAAGTCATGGATTATAAAAAGAAAAGGCTCCAAACTCCAGAGCATGCTCCGCCTGGTCCTCGATAAACCTGGATGATGATGATCATTTAAGTGATCACACATCAGTGTAGATTCTGTCTGACCCACCGGTGATGTGCTGAGGCTCCACATGTGGAGCTTCATAAGCGACACAGTGGGAACAGTAATCCTCATTTCCATTCAGTCTGGATTTAAAGTGACTGAGCAGCTGCTGGTTTGGTGTCGATGTGTTTGCTTCCACCTACCAGAATGCTCTTTGTTGACTACTCTGGTTGTTAATAATGGCACAACTAGAATAAGGTGCATCATCTTGTCTTCGTCATGCTGTGCCTGTATTGGTTGCTCTTGGTGAAGGAAGGTAAAGCATCCCCTCGTGTGTTGTTTTTCTAGTGCTAGCTGCTTTTAATTGGTCATTAGCTGTCAGTAATCGGTCCACTCTGCTGTCTGACTAGTGGTACATCTCCACTCATATCAGAAGCCCACTCTGCCAGTTTATCCTGAAACCAACACGGAAAGAACAACTAAATGCAGACAGCGCTCTGTCATAGCTGCAGGTGTCTACAATACATTTGCAAGAAGGAGCACATCACCAGTCAGGTTGGCCCTAATTGAACATAATGCTGGAGTCTGTCACAAGCTGGAGTGAAGTCCACAGCAGAGGAGCAGCAGATTGTGAGACTTGTTCAAGGGAAGAGCTCATCACACACACACATGTGACAAATTAAAGAAACACAAAATGCGGAGCAACACAATGAGTGTAGCTGCTTCCACACAGGTGACTGCATGTAGAGCTAAGCAGGTAACATCTGGGCATGCTCTGTGGCCTGTAGACAAGGGTCAATAGGCAGAGCTGATTATGGTTTGCATCTAGATGACAAGAAGAAAAGATGCAAGTGACTTTCAAAGAGGGTTCATTGTTAGGGCGCTGATGGCAGGAGCTTCAGTCACCAACCCTGCTCACCTGGCCGGACGCAAAGTCACTGCCTTTAGATCTACGGGAGTAAATATGGTTGGAAACGACTGTCTGCAGCCCACCTGTTGCTGGTGCATTCGTACTATATGTAAGGATGAGGGAGGAGCCACTCTTTCTCAGGTGAATGTCAGCAGCTTCACAGACGGGATGGTGGAGGAGCAGCACAGAAAGGCCCTGCAGGCCAGCAAAGGTTTGACTGGAAACAGTGACTCTCATCTGTTCCCTTTTAAAAGTTTAGCTGCTGCTAACCGGATAGCCTCAGCTGGTTTTGTGTGGTGTTCCCCGACCCGTATACGCTGCTGCAGCAGTCCTGGATTGGACCGTGGTTGGATGGTAGAGGGCTGTGTCATCATGAGCACGCTTTAAAATGTGAAACATGGTGAACATGGGACGGACGCAGCGAGCTGGTTCGTCTGAGCTTTCACCCTTAATGCCACCAAGCACGCCGCATTAGGATCATCCACAACATAAGAGTGTCGGATCGTTCACCCCCAGTCGGAGTCCGTTTCTTAAGAACACAGCGTTTACATGCAGGATGGGGGTTTTTGAGTCAGTACATTCCTCTGCAGACATTTATGGCTGCTTGTGTGCATTTTTGCGTGTTTATGAGACTTCAGTTGTTGTCAGTGATTTGTTTCGTACAGCTCTACTGGAGGGACAGTTATTTAAGCACACAGCACAGCGATGGATCACGCTGTCTGCTTCTCAACAAGCCGCCACCTGTAATTCCAAAGGGCACAGCCAGCTTCATTCCTTATGCATGGCAGAGTTTAATGCAGACTCATTTAGTAAACCCAGTGGACACGCACACACACACACACACACAGACAAAAGCGTATGTGTGTTTTAGATGAAACCAGGACAAACAGGTTCTCTCTTGCTTCATGAACACAAGGCAGAATTAAATGATGTGTCTTCTGATACCAGCTATTCTGTCACTTTATTGATTATGCCAGTCTATTCTGCTGTCATGCTTTTGCACACTGGCCTTTAAACAAGTACTCTAGTGAGCAAACAGTGTGTGCCGACACCTTCTCAGTTAGCTTCCAATCCAGACATCTGCTGAGGTGATCTATCTGAGGGGAGGGCACTGATTGGTGTGATGCTTTCTCTAGCCTCCTACCCCAACCTGGAACATCTCAAGTCCATGTCCAACCCAACCCCTCCTGTAATTTATGCATAATTAGTCCAGACCAACACGCAGCTCTTTGTGAGGACCGGTCACAATGTCCTCACTAAGATGGTTTAGACGACAGAGATGCGTGCACACACACACACACACACACACACACACACACACACACAGTCCATTTTCTGAAGTGACCGTCGAAGCCTCGGTGAGAGCTGCCCTCGGTTTTCTTGAGTGGTGGCCCCTCCCACCCTCGCCCAGCCACCACCACCTAACCCTTCCAAGTACCCCTCGCAGGTTACCATAACAACCACGACCTCTGGCTCTACACCAATTAGAAAACAATCAGCCTTGAGAGACCGAAGTGGAGTGAGCTCGAAAGAGAAGAGACGCACTGTAGCGCACGAGTAAAAGATAAGTAGGGAGTGATAACAGCGAGAAGCACAGGGTGGGGGAGGAAGGA